AAAAAAAAAGAAAAAAAAAAAAAAGATTTCCATTAAATAGATATTAGTTTTTATTGGCACATTTCTTTGTGAATAAAAATAATCAAAAAAAAAAAAATAAATAAACCCAAAAAAAACAAAATATAAAACCAAAAAAAAATATATAAAATAAATAATAAAAGAGTTTTTTTATAAAATGGTCAAACCAAGAAATAATAAAAAAAATAAAAAAATTAATAACCAATGCGATGTTCCAATCAACTTTTCTGCAAACACTGAAGCTGATGAAATGGAAATAGAATATAAAGCTGATCCAAATGAAATATTTTTACTTGTACCAAACTCAAAAATGTTGAAAGTAAACAGAGCTTTGCAAGTATCGGGTCATTACAAATTGAAGCTCGCTGCCTTAGATCTCCTTGATGACCATGTCTCAAATAAAGATTTATTATCAGATTTAAGCCACAACCAATATGCTTCAGCTATTAACTACCAATTAAATCTTGCTCTCAAGTGCCATTGTAGTGTAAAATATTTAAATAGTGTTAAGGATAAAGCCAGCTCTTTATTAACTAAAATGATTATCAAAGAATGGGGAAGTTCAGATGCTACCGTAGAAAACCGTAAATTCATCTCTGATAGCCTCAAATTAATTGTAGACCCAGTTGCCTTTCCAGAAAAATACTGTTGGGAAGAAGTTAAAGATTCCATTATTATCTTGGGTAAATTCTCTCAAATGAAAAATGAAACAATAGTTTTTGAAGGCTTTCATAAATCAAAAATAGAAAATAACAAGCCAGAAATTAGCAGATCTTCATTTGTCTCATACCTAGAGATGGTTAATAAAGCATCAAATGACTCAAAGCTTCGATATAGAAATGAATGGAAAAATATCGAACCATTAGCAATCCAGGTATCAGAATTAATTTCCAAAGCACCATTGCCAGCCCGTAATGGCTTATATTGTAACAAAATTTAATGGTGTTTAGAAGTAGCAAGAAAAAAGGTAATATCACCAAAAAATAAATGAAGATTTTCCATACTTGTTAAGAATTTATGATCAAATAACATGAAGCAAGTTGCAAAAAAGATATCAGTTTTGAAGAAATGTAGTAATATAGTTCAAATGAAACATACAATAATATTTGTCAATTTCCATTAATTGATTATATATTTCAATTTTGTAATATTTCGAAATTCACATATTGGTATTTTACACAAATATCAATATACTATAAGTTGTCTCCACTGAATTGAAAAAATCAACATCACTTTTCTAATAAGGTAATATTATTATTTTTTTATTTTTTTTTCAAATACATTTATCATTATATTAATACTTTTTTATTTTAACAATATAGATTCAATTATCTTTTATAAAAACAGTTATAACAACTAAGCCACCAAGGCATTTTTTATTTTTTAAAATAATAAAGTGAAGATGCAATTGAAAATGCAATATAAGATGAAATTCAGGATAAAAGTGAAATTTAAGAAAATTCAAAAGTATTAAACTAAAATACAAAATAGTATTGATTTTTAAAACCTCATCCAGTATAAAACCAAAAGAAAAAGCCGAGTACACTTAAAAACAATAATCAAAATTTTAAAAAATAATTTAATTTTTATAGTAATAAATAAATAAACAAAGTTTTATTTGACTATAATAAAGAAAAATAAAATATTCATAAAAAAAAAAAAAAGTAATTTATTTGTATATTTTTAATGCTATTAACATAGAACTATTTTATTTATTTAATTTTTTGATGGTAGTTCTTTGTTGTTTTATTAATATATTATTTAAGACTTGCTGGTGATGTTTCTAGGTTCAATCTTAGTCTCTTATTGGATATACATTTCACGTTCGATATTATTACTTTTAATATATTTTCTACGACTGAGTGACCTATTACTTTAGTGTTTATTAAGTGATTGAAAAATTATGATTATCTTCAGTTTTTACCAATTATCGTTATCACCGTAGGGGAATAGTACCTGATTTAATTGTTTTCTTATTTCATATTCATTATAAGCTGTCTTTGGGTGTTGTTTGTGATTCTTTCAAAAGTATACTACCCCAATTTTTAGTAAATATCAACACGTTATCATAGCCATTTTAAATTTTTAAAATAATTTATTTTTAAAAAATCTAATAATTTTTTTAAAATTTTTTTCTTAAATTTTTTTTTTATTTTTTTTTTTATTTTTATTTTTTTCGATCACAACAAACAAAAAAACACATAAATAATTTTAATAATGTAAACTATAGCACATCCAATAATAATTCAAATAATAATGCCAATGGTTCAAATAATAATAATACATTAAATAGTTCATGCAATAGTACACAGTGGTTTAAATTCAAATAGAAATTATTTGTCATCATCAACAGCATCATTAACAAACATTCCAACTATTATAACAACTTCACCATCATCTTCATTAAAGAATAGTAATAGTCAATAGTTTTGTTGCTGCATCATCCTCCTTAATTAATTCCACAACAAGTAATAATTTAACATCATATGACGAGGTTGAAAAAGGATTCAGGGTCCATGAAGAAGATGAGGCAGTCGAATTAAACGAATCATTAAATGAATTTAACAATGAAAGCAGGGTTGGTGTTGGTCGTGACGATTGTGATGTTGGCGAGGCTCAAGAAGAAGATGATGACAATAACAAGAATATGGAATTTAAATTCGATTTAGATTTGACTACAATTAATGTAATGGACTATATCGATGACTTTGAAAAGAAATTATTGGAATATTCAGAAAAAGAACAAATAGTCCAAGATTTCAACAAAAATAACATAGATTTAATTCAATATTCAAAACAGGTAGGAGAATCACTAGAAAAATATGACAAAGAAATGAATGCACTCTATCAAGATATTTTACCCGATTGTAAGTATCATATGGTTTTTTAAACATATTCTCTAGTTTTAATTATTTATATATATTAAAATTTATCATTTATCTAGATGTAAATGAAAGGGGAAACTTTCATTTAATGTATAAAGCAATCACAGAAAGCAAGTCTTTATTGGTCGGATTTGAAACAATGTTAAATGGTTTTCAAAATGAATTAGCAAGTATTTCAAAAGAAATGCGTACACTACAAGGATTATCAATGAATGAAAATTTAAATGCACAAACAGAAAAAATGTAGTTGAAAAATTACATAAAATAATTGACGAGGTTTCAATTTCAGATGATTTAATAACGTATGTATATCGTAACACCTTTATATTTAAAGTTAAAAATATACTAATTCTTATTTGTTTATAGTTTATTAACACATGGCGAAGTTAATGATCAATATTTACAATATCTATCAATCTTTAGTAAAAAATTGGATATATTCAAACACAAAAAAGCGAAGGTGTATTTGCCACAGGTGAAGTTGAGGAGGTTATATTAAAATTAAAACCTTTCGATAACAGGTAAGTAAATTAATACATTATTTTAAAACAACAACAACAACAACAACAACAACAACAACAACAACGAACCCATATACATATAGAAAATGGCATCGTTAAGGGAATAGAAACAGAATTACTAACATAAATTAAATTAACTTTATTAATTTTCAAAAGACAGATTTACCAAATTAAAACCATTCAATACCCTTACAGAATCTGCTGTCGTCGATATCATGATTGAAAGGATATTAATCAACTATATAAAGATTTGGCCTAATTAATCCAACCACGAACTATTGCTTCTATATTATAATAATCTCAAAACCAATATCAATAATTATCATAAAAAGTCACAAAGTCGCAGAAACTCAAATTCTTTCAAAGTCTTTCAATCTCGAGTAAATCAGATAAAGCAAAGTTCAAATCAATTACAAGTTCATGTAAATTCAAAAAGTGTTATGGAAGTACCGTTCAGCTCTTATAGACGCTAGTGCACGGTTTTCATGTATGAAAAAAACATTGGCAAAAAAAAGATTAAACTTAGATCCAACTAAATACTAAACACTAATGAAGATATTCAATCTTATCAACCATTTATATGAATTTCAATATATTTTCCTTGGCCCAAGCAACAGTGATAGACACAAATAGTTTAGATAAGGAAAAGGGTAAACTTCAACTTTCGTTAATATTGCTCAAATTGTGAAACAGTCCAATGGTTTTAGCTTATCAAATATATTTAAAATATGACCCCCAAAAAATTTAGTATCTGATAGAGGTTCAAGTTTCATATGTGAAGTCGTCGTTTCAATAAACAAATTCTTTAAAGTAACTCCAACTTTCGCTTGCCATACATAAACATATGGTTTAACAGAAAAGTTTAATTCATCCTAATTCACAAGTACCTAGATGTTATTGTAAAGAAGACAATACAAATGATCCACCACAGTTAATTGGTATTGCTTTATTCTCATATAGTACTATGCTTCATCCTTCTACTGGCATCTCTCACCATTTTTTTAACTCAGTAAATCAATAATCAGTCCTCAGTTATTAGAAGCCTTTAAGAAAGCTAATATTAAAACATTTTATAAAAATTAATTGTTAAAAATCAATATAGTGTCAAACCAAATGCAGTTCTCGTTAAGAAATAACAGTCATACCCAAACTCGATTTATTATCATATAATTAATAAAACGCCTCACATTTTTCAGGACCATCGCTGCCGGTGCTGCTGCCGGTTGTGCTACTGTGGGTGGTGAAGGTAGCACAAGTGGTACAGGTGGCACATCAACAAGTGGATCAACTAGCATATCAACAGGTGTAATAGTAGGTAACTCTTCAGACTGGAAAGATTCTTCAGACTCATCAGCAGATCATCATCAGCTAGTAGTTCATCAGATAGTAGTACATCATCAGCTAACAGTTCATAGCCATTAAAAAATCTCACAAACTTCAAATTCCTAATCTTCTTCAAACTATAAAAATAATATTAATGTCTCTGTCTTATGAGCATACCAAGAAATACAAAGTAGGTGATCAAATAATACCAACATCAACAACAACCAAGAAACAATAGCAGTCAGACCAAGGCAATACTCATATAAACGTAGTGCACTAAGACTACCTGAAAACAAAATTGAAATAACATTCTTTAATAGGAAAACGATCAAGTATTAAAAGTAATATACATTTCATTAGAAAAGCAATTATTTAAAAAGAAGAGAACTTTTAGAACAATTAGAATTAGAAGGTCTTCAATCCGAAAACACAGTATTAAATAAGAGATTACAACTCTTCAAGATAAATTCAGCAAACAATCTTTCAACACTGGTCATGATACTTCAGTTGGTATAGGATCCATCAGCATTGGTTTCTTAGCAAACTGATGAATGCGAAAAGAAAACAGAACAAAAGCGGCAGCATCAAATTCATCAAAATCTAATATTGGTAGTTCAAATGCAGTGCTAATAGTTCACCAATCATCCCATTGAATACTTCATAAGAAATCAATGGTGATAGGATCAGAGAGACTGAACATGAATTTGAAAGTTATAGAATTGAAAAAGAGAGCTAGCAGTGGAAAAAGATTATTAGAAACCAAACAATTAATATAAAATTAGAGATTACTGACTCAAAAGGTTCATTTGGAAACAGTTAGAAATGTAAATACACAATTAAAATTTAAAATTGAAAATATTGAAGAGGAGATAAGACAAAGAATGGAAGAAAAGTTAAATATTTTAAGATAAATAAATAAATAGATAATATAGACTAATCAAGAGAAGCAATCTTAATTAGCAATTAATATAATATGATGGAATCAATTTAAAAATACAAAGAAAATAAAATTAAATAAAATTATATTTATAAGCGTTATTTTTTTTTTTATTTTTTTTTTCACAGATAAAATATAAATATATTTAGTCGAATCAGTTTAAGGTAATATATATTAATATAATTTATTTTTAGAGTAATTTAACAGCATCTTCTACGACGATGACCAATATCAATATCAATATTGATAATTTTACTGTTACCACCACTGCATGGATTAAAACATGGATTGAAACTACATGAACTGCCACTTAAGCTATTACCGAACCAAACTGATTCATTATCAGAGAATGAGACACTTCCAGATGAACTTAACATTGATTTAGATGATGCAACATTGACTGGGTTCATTGATGAAATAGATTCTATATTAAAAATAAAAATAAAAAAAAAGTTAATATTTATATTTTTAAAATTTAAAATTTAGTTTTATTAATATTTACTAATAATTGACATTTTATAATATAGTTTTTATTTTTTAATATAAACTTTGTTTTTAATTAAAATGAAAAATATACTTTTTTTTTATACATTGGTAAATTTGTGAAATATATTTCTGAATTATTAATTCATCTGAAGAAATAAATTATAACAATAAGATGATTTAATAAAAATTTATGAAATGATTTTCAATTCAAGATGGTTATAATTAAACATACATTTATAAATTATATTATTTTAAAAATTAAATAAAATATAACCCCAAACAAAAAAAATAATGTTATAGAAATAAAAAATATTAATAACTAAAAATTTTTTTTATATTTTAAAATTAAAATATTTTTTTTTTTTTTTTAATTTCTAAAAATATTAACTTAATTTATTTTTATTTTAATCTTTATTTTTATTTTTTATATATAAGGGACCACAAATATTATTATATTATTCAAATATTGATTCAATATATTTTATAAATCTACTTTGGTAATCTTTTGGGTTAACTGCTGATATTTGGGTCTAAAAAAGAAAAAAAAATAAAAGATGATATTAGTATTGAGATACCTTATTAAAAAAATATTAAATTTAATATTAAACTTACTCTATCAAAGAAAATTCCTTTTAAAGCATTTTCACCACGCTTTTTTAAATTATAAGTTGTTAGAATATCTATTAAACCTAAATAATAAACTATACCTCCATCACTTTCTTCTGTATTCGATCTATAAATTATATTTGAAGTTGGTTGTGGAGGGGTATGAATTCTTTCAAAAATACCATTAAAATCCTTTTTGAAATAGGATATATCTTTTTTCTCAAGTGACTTTGGACCTTGAGATTCTTTAAGAGTTTGAATTGTTTTGTTGTCACTAATATGTAAACCAACCAATAAACTATAATCACATATACCATGGCTGCACATCCATTCAGAGTCGATTGATAATTGTTGTATAAATACTTTTTTTAATTTACCTAAATGAATCTTTCTTTTTAAATTTAAATCCTTGAATGTTAAATCCTGAGTTTGAATATTAATACTATTATCTACACCATTTATTTGATTGCTACTATTACTTGTATTCAAACTATCTGTACCGTTTTGATAGTGATGCTGTTGTTGCTCCTTGGCTAATTTTTGCTGAATTTTATTAACGTCAACATATCTACCTATTGTTGAACCTTTTAAATCATATTTTTCTTTAATTTCCAACTTTTGTTCAGAATAGAAAAGATTGACCATTACAACAAATATGATATCTCTATGGGCACTGTTAAAATAGGAAGCACCACTTAATTTTAATTTACCCTTTAAACGATATACTCCCAAGAATCTTGGAAGCAAAGAATTTGGATACTTCATTATGTGTTGATAGTATGATGGAAATAATTTAGTGAATGTTTCATACTCGCTTGATGGAATTGTTTTTAAAAAGTATTTAGAGTCCTCCGATTTATAGAAAAAGCTACCACTTCTACCCACAGTTTGAACCTCTAAAAACTTTACAATATCAGATATATTTGGGCTGCCTATTGATGATTTGGTTCTAAGGAAATCGTTGTCGACATTATAATATTTTCTTATTGCTTTAAAAACTTTTGGTGAGAATATTGTAAACTGCCATTTATCTGATAATGAGGATGTTAATGATGCTGTAGATGATAGCTCTGTGTTTGAAGCGACTGTTGGTGGGGTTATAGTTGTTGTATTTAATGAATCTATTGTTCTTGCTATTGTTGTTACTGTTGATGATGAACATTCAGATGTGGATTCTGGTTCTATAAGATGGAATTGATTTATAATCTGTTCTTCATAAAAATCTTCACCTGAATCAATTGGGATTTTAATATTGGTTTCTTGATTAAAATCTTCTTTTGAAAAATCACTAATAATAAAAGCCCCGTCTTTTTGATTTGTTTCTCCATTATTTATTTCAAATAACTTTTTAAAACCAATAGTCAATAAATTAATATATTGTTGAGTTTCTTGATCCTGTACAAATTTTTTAAATTGATTTTCATTAGCTGATGGTCTATAAAGGGTTTCTTCGATAGCGTTTTTGGAATACTTTAATAAATTAAATGGTTTTAAAACGGATCTATATGATGATGATGGTGTTGATGAATTATTTGGTTGTTGTGGTGTTGTGGGTGGTGATACTTTATTTAATAACTTTGGATCTATTGATACCAATAGTGGTTTAGTTGGTAGTTGTTGGGTTGATAGTTGTTTGGTGGGTTGTTTAGTTGGTTGTTGTTGATGGGTGGTTTGTTGAGTTGGTTATTTGGTTGGTTGTGGACGTTGTTGTTGTATGG